TGAAAGAATGCTTTGCTCTTTCTTTACCCAAAAATGTCCCTGGAATGAAAAAGGGTGATTAGTTTATCATAATTTGAAGGGAACATGTTTTAGATCTATTGTTAAGGTAGTTAACCTTCTCTGCCTAATGCCGAAATTTGTATGAGTGAAAGACTGCTGAACCACAACCTAAAATAGGTAGTTAGGGGTTGGCAGCAGCCTGAAAGCTAGGATTCATGTTGCGCAGTGCCTTTGACAATTTGGAAAGCAGAACCCATGCTGAGACTGTAGTTCTAGGCAACAGGATTGGAAAATAGATAATTGTCAATGTATTTTGGTTGTAATTGGTTACATTTAGCATGGAGTTGGAAGAGGAGGATGAGTTCAGATAAGATTTGGCTAGTTTTAGAGCAAAAATCAAGGTGTTGCAGGATTGGTTCCTCCTGCGGGCCATGAGAGAAGGATCTCCTCCAGGCTTCTCTCCTTGGCTTGGAGAGCCAAGCCATCTCCCTATGCCTCTTACATTGCTTTCCCTCTGTGTGCACCTCTGTGTCCAAATCTCCCCCTTTTGTTAGGACACCGATCATACTGGATTAGGCCCCATTCGAATACCCTCACATTAACTTGATTAGGGTCTGGAAAGACCCTGTCTCCAAATAAGGTCACGGTTGAGGTACTGGGGCTTGGGACTTCAACATATGAATTTTAGCAGGGACAGAATTCAACCTGTAACACAAAGAAGAGATATTGGGGGACAAATGGTAGTCTGTGCCACAATGCCCAAATTATGATGGCTCTCAGCTTGAGTATAATCCATCTCCCCCCTGTCCAAGATTTATGGGAGTTCACAGGGATGAGTCAGCTCCATTTTTCTCATTAACTTTCCTTATCAAGGCACCTCACCAGGCCCATTAGCATAGGGTGCATGTGTGAGTGTTTCACTGTTCCCAGGACTCCACACTACTACTGCTAGCTAAAAACAACAGTTAACCTTTACTGGGGGTGAATTACATTCTAGGTGCTATGCTGAACACACTGTAAGCATTATTCCATTTGAACCTCACAACTTTATTAGGTGGGTGGTAGCTTCATCCCCATCTTCAGTAAAACCAACCTGAGATACAGAGAATTTACCCAAGGTCATGTGGCTGGTAAATGGCAGAGATAGAATGAGAGCCCAGGTCTCTGACTCTAGAGCCTGTGCTCTTAACCACTGTACCACACGGTTCCTCAAAAGTTTTCCCTAATGTGGCAGCTACAGTTTATGGCTCAGTCAGGGCCTGAAACCTTGGTTTCAAGCTAGATCAGAGAACACATGCTTTACCTTCTTCTGTGATCTGAATGTTACTTCTACTCTCTCCCACTCGTAGAAAGCAGCCAGCCTAATATCACGTCCTGTAGATCTTAGCTCCAAAATGTATTTTGGGTCTTTCCATTTGTACATGGTTCCCCCTGACACCACCCATCATCTAAGCTCCTAGGATTCAACAGTCTGTGGATGCAAATTAAGTCATATTAAGTTTAATGCCTATATTAGTTAGGATTAGTCTGGCATATCCTCTAAGCTGGTTCTCCCACTTTCACTTTTGCTCCTGAGATCTAGTTTTCCAAAATAAATCTGTTTTCTTGAGTATAACTGTTTAAAAATGCAAGCTAGCTCATGTCAGCTCACTGACTGAAATCTAAGTCTCTGACATATCTACTTCTATTTTTTAATCTTTTGAAAAGTATTTTTTTCAATTACAGCTTACATTCAATATTATTTTGTATTGGTTTCAGGTGTACAGTATAGTGGTTAGGCAATCATATACTTTACAAGTGTTTTCCCCGGTATTTCCAGTACCCATCTCTGCCTCTCTTGCCTTGCCCACTACAATCTGACCACACAGGCTATTTGGTTGTTGTCTTGGATAAGGCAGGTTTTCTCCTGCTTCAGGGCCTCTGTATTCTACTAGCAACTCTCTTTCCCCAGATGTTTGCCTTAATGTCTCCCTCTCATCCTACATGCCTTAGTAGAAATGCCACTTCTTGGCAAGTTACTCCTTGACCAAGCTAAAATATGTTTCCACCATCCCTCTCTATTACATTACCCTGTTTCATTTTTCTAAGACATTCTCAAAAGCTGACATTATCTTAATTGGTTATTTGTTCATTACCTGAGGACCACCCCCCATCCCCCTACACCAGATACAACTAGATAGTAAATTAATGTTCTCTGCTTGGTAGATGTTTAACCAATAATTGTTTTAAAAAAATGAGTGAATAAGTGACTCTCCCAAGGCATGGTGCACAAAACTCTTCCTTCCTTCTACCTTAAAATTAAAAACAACAACAAAACCAATCAAATAACTTGAGAAAGAAGTACCAAATTAACAGTCCCACAAACAGCCAGCTTGAATTCTAGTTTCAGCTCAGCAAATATATCCAGTGAGGTTTTTCTGTGATCACTGACCTATATTTCCTATCCAGCACTCTATAGCAGCCTAGATGAGTTTTAGAGGCAGATCACATTCTCAAGGCTGAGACTGTCCAACATCCTGCTTTCTGGAAACCACTGGCCTTTGGCTGGAAAATAGGGAAGAAGGCCACTTAGAAGGGAATCTAATGTTTTCTATGTGCCAGGTCAGACTCATTTCAAAAACTTTATGTACATGAACTAACAACGTCTCTGTAAATTCTGTGCTGTCATTATAACCAATTAAAATGAGGAACCAGAGACACAGAGAGGTGGAACAGCTCACCTACCATTATACAGATAGTAATTTGCAGAGTTGGTTTGAACTTTAATTTAGCTCCACGATTTTAACTATCATTACAATTAAAATTTGGAAGATGGGGACTAGAACACTAGCATAAACAGGTCTAGAAGAGACAGAAACACGTCTTGAAAACTTCCTGTGTTACACATGTAAGAGCATCCTCTTACTAATCAAAAAGCAAATATCAAGCTCTCTCTCTCAATTTGTGGGCTATTTTAGCTATATTTGTTAAAAGTTAAATTTTGTTACAACCAAATTCCAAAGAAAAAACAAATTCTTCTTGGTATCCGGTGTTGCTTGAAAGAGAAATCAGGACCTAATTCTTTGTCCTCTGACTAAATTTTGTGCCTTCCTTTAGTAATCTATTGTATGGTATTAGGTAAGTCACATCACCTTACAATGCCTTTCCTTCTTCATTAGGGCCAGTGAAGCACACAAACGGAGGNGAAAGAGAAATCAGGACCTAATTCTTTGTCCTCTGACTAAATTTTGTGCCCTGCTTTTAGTAATCTATTGTATGGTATTAGGTAAGTCACATCACCTTACAATACCTTTCCTTCTTCATTAGGGCCAGTGAAGCACACAAATGGAGACCACCAGTTCCAAACTACCAGTGACTTTGCAACTAATACCTATGTGACCTTGGACAAGTTCGATACTACTTCACCAAGTTTGTTTCCTCATCTTTAAAGTTGGCATAATACACACCCCACAAGGCAGTAGAGAGGATTAATAAGATAAAATATATAACTTGTTTGGCATATAGTAAATTTCTGATAAATATTTTTTGCAACTATTACAATATGTAAAATTTAGTTTTGTCTTAGAAAACAGGCGTTGTCTTCAGTATACTTATTAGCAGACATAAATTTGATAGTTTTCCAGATTACTCCTCATTTATTAAATATTACTTGGGAAGCTCCTATGCACAACGACAAAATGTCTTAAGACAATTATGTTTCACCTGGGACAACAAGAGTTGTACATACTTATCTTATTGAGAACTAGAAAGTAATATTTTAAATGAGGAACAGTCATGAAAATTCAGAAGAGGGAGAAATTGCTTTCACCTCCAAGAGGTGGGCACAGAGTGGAGAAAGGGACTTTGAGCTACACCTTAAAGGATGTCACTAGTGAGTAATTTTTTTCTGCATAGCCCTCAGACTAAAGTAATTACTTTCTCCTCTATGGTATGCTTCATTACTTTGCAGCATTTTTAAAAGTTAAATTTGTATTAGACTGTCATTCCTGTTTCTGTCTCCTCTTGCACACTCTGGATGGCGGGGACTCTCTTATGACTGCTGAATTCTCCAGCACCTGATTAAAGGAATAACTGTAATAATGAGAAATTACAGAAAAGCTGTTTGGGTTTTAGGGTTAGTCCAGTGTTGAGTATGGCTCTAGAGTCTGACTGATTTTAACTTCAGGCTGTGCCTCTTAGCTCAGGTAAGTGACTTTTAGGATTGACAGATTAAAAACAGGACACCCAGTGAAATTTGAATTTCAGATAAACAACAGTACATTTTTGGTATAAGTACGCCCCATGCAATCATTATGGCACACTTATAGCAAAACATTATCCATTGTTTATCTGAAATTTTGTATTTAACTGAGCACCTGGACATTTTACTTGCTAACCGTGACAACCCTAGTGGGCCCTGGCCGGATGCTCAGTTGGCTAGAGCCTGGTCCTTAAGCCAAGGTTGCAGGTTCGATCCCCAGCAGGGCAGACAGCAAGCCACCAATGATGCGTAAGGGGAACAACACACTGATCTCTCTGTCTCTCTTGTCCTCTCCCCTTCTCTCTCCAAAATCAACTAAAAAAATAAAAATAAAAAATGAAAACCCTAGTGAGGTCTCTCGTATCTGTTACTTGGAAATGGGATGAAAATAGTACCGTCTCAGGAATTACCCTAAGAAGCATCTCACCCACTGTAAACCTTTATTTAATCCACCTTCCAAATCAGGATACTTTAGTAAGACATGAATGTCAAGGCCCTGGGCACCCCCAAATACGGTTGCCTCTCTAAAGAGCGCAGAAGGTTCGGCAGAACTGAACAAGGCCGCAAACCGCTTCGAGATGCGCGCGGCTTCATCTTCAAAGGAACGAGGCGGCGGCGGCGCGCGGTCTCCTCGGCGGAAGCACCTTCCCCAGGGAGAGACAGGCCTGCGTTTCTGCGCACGCGCACAGAGCNGAGCGCCGCGCCTGCGGGCCGGGGCCGCGCCGCCCGAGAGTCACGTGCGGACGGCGCGACCCCGGCTTGTCACGTGACCCGGGCCCCGGCTTCTCCCGGGATGGAGCCGGAAGAGGGGGCGCCTCTTTGGCGGCTGCAGAAGCTTCCCGCGGAGCGGGGCCCGCAGGTGAGGCGGCG